GGTGGCCTGAGGCCGCTTCCTTGTCCATTTAGGGCATGTGACCTAGCACCAGAGGCTCTCTGTCTCACCTGGCACCTCAGCCTCAACCCTCACTATTTACTGGTCAGGAATGTGGCAAATCTTTGGTCACCCCAGCTGTGGGGCTAGAAGAACAGAAAAGGAAGGGGCTTCTGACAGCCAAGTGAAGCCTCTCCCAGCTGCTCCTTTGCCAGGTTCTCTGCAGGGCAGAAGCCTGGCCAGAAAGCCAGATGGAGGGAGAGGAGTAGCTAGGGCTGTAGGCGGAGGCATGGAGAGGGCTCCATGAGGCCCCGCAGGGAAGATCTGAACTCTAGGTTATGCAAGGCTGGGAAGCAGGCTCTGGAAAAAGCGTCCAGTGGCTCCTTGTTGAATGATCCCTCATACCCCCTATGGCTGAGGGCTCTCACCATCTGCCACCCCAGCTGGACTCAGTCAGCAGGGTTGAGAGCCTGGCCCAGCTCCGTGACTCAGCTGAGAGTCATCCTCTCAACAGATCAAATTGGACTTTCGCCTTGTATGAGACCAAGCCCATGCCAGTGGCCTTTGTTTCAGTACCAGGACTTTGTCTCACCTCCCTGACCACCTGTCCACCACGCTCTAAAGCTGTTCCTTCCAGTTAGACCATCTGCCAAGTTCACCCAAAAAGAGACTTTGCCTTTTCACTCACCATCCACAGAACTGAGTTTCAATAGAGGGCCTCTTGGGAGATCCGGGGAAACCATTTGACTCAGGCAGCATGTTGGTGACGAGTCTCAAATTTAGACTTTTGTGGTTTACCAGATGACATGTATAGTTAGAGCATTTTTACTTCTGATATATCGAGCCCTTGAAAGAGCATGATTAAGAAGTCTGTTGGCCTTTGGAAGGTCCTGCCCTGACTTGGGTGTGGCCCCAACAGCCCAAATTCACTCATAGCTCTCCCTTCAATGCCAGTTTCTGAGATCTGTCCTAGTCTATCCTCTGGGTACATGTCCAGATTTGCCTGATCACATGTCCCTCAAGTGTCATGAGGCTCCTGTAAGAACTGTCGGCTTTCACTCAAAGTCTCAGAGACCAGCAGCTTCCTGGCTGCACCACACCTCTCCCCTCACTCACCAAGAAGGCAGGGGTAATGGGTGGATGAGCAGAGAGCACGACAGCCTGTAAGGAGAAGCTGGGTTCATCCTCTCATTGAGAGAGCTCTTCACCTGCGTCTTGGCTCAAAAATAAACTTATGCTACCACAAATTTTAATTGACTGACGAGTCACTACATATCAGAGATCTTCAGGGCCTGTTGTGAGTGGCTGACAGTGAATCTTAACTGATGCCCTGGTGACCAGCTACATTGTGTATTTGGTCTGCAGTGAGCAGCAGCAGCTGCACCTGGAAGCTTATTAGCAACTCAGAATCTTGCGTCCCACCTGAGAGCTGCTGAATCAGTTGGCATCTTAACTAAACCCCAATGATTTGGGCTCAATTCAAGTATGAGCAGCCCAGGTCTGCAGCAGCCACTCTCAGCCCTGACTACATCAGAATCACCTGGAGAGCTTTGGCAACCACCTGTCTCTGGGGATTCTGACTGAGTTTGGTCTGAGGTGAGGCCCAAGCATTGCTGTATTTAAAACCTCTCTCCTGCCCTGGCTGGCGTAGCTCAGTGGATTGAGCGCAGACTGGGAACCAAAGTGTGTCCCAGGTTCGATTCCCAGCCAGGGTACATGCCTGGGTTGCAGGCCATAACCCCCAGCAACCGCACATTGATGTTTCTCTCTCTCCCCCCTCTCTAAAAATAAATAAAATCTTAAAAAAAAAAAAAACCTCTCTCCTGACTCATGTAGCAAGAATTTGGTTCTGTGTTGCCAGCATGCGCTTTACTTTCCTAGACTTCGAACTGGAATTAGAAGTAACTATCTCCTAGGTTTAAATACTGGAAATGAGTGAACTGTAGAGGGTGAGAGGGTGTTCTGGGGGGGGGGGGGGGGGGGGGGGGGGGGGGGGGGGGGGGGGGGGGGGGGTGGGGGGGTGGGGGGGGGGTGGGGGGGGGGTGGGGGGGGGGGGGGGGGGGGGGGGGGGGGGGGGGGGGGGGGGGGGGGGGGGGGGGGGGGGGGGGGGGGGGGGGAACAAAGATGAGCTCAGATTACAGATGCTGCTCAAGGACAGGGAATTCCCTTTATTCTCCCCTAGCCCCTTCACCCTCGGGGCCAAGTAGTCCCCTAGCCCACACAAGCCCCCACCCCAACTTTTTAAAAGATTTTATTTCTTGTTACAGAGAGGAGGTGAGAAAGAGGGAGAAAAACATCAATGTCTGGTTGCCTCTCACACCCCCGCACTGGGGACCCAGCCAGCAACCCAGGGATGTGCTATGAAGTGCGAATCAAACCAGCAACCCTTTGGTTTGCAGGCCTGCATTCAATTCACTGAGCTATACCAGGCAGGGATCACAAGCCCCCTTGTCCCAAGTCCTAGACTCCTGGTCCAGGCATGTCTGAGCTGGAGGTGAGGTCAGTGACTCAGCCTTGCCGCCATCACCTCCACCAAGCTTAGGGTTAGAAAGGTGCACATGAAGTGCGTCATGAACAGGCGCTTATCTTCCCAGGTTTCCTTCGCTGATTTTACACCTTCTAGTTTTTGTTGGGAGAATGCAAGTCACATTACTCAGGTACTGCAGAGAGACTGTTTTCACCTGACGACTTCCTGGTTTAGGGAAATGATTTCCCACGTTAGGGGACTATAGTGGAAATTTTTGAGGATTTGTCTCACATGAATTGTGTGGCAGCAAAATTTTAGGAACTTTTCTTCTTAGGAAAATCTTATCTAAGCTCCAGCCCAACTGGGCTACTTCGTGGGAGGAACAGCTCTGGCAGCCTGTCAGGATGCCTCTTGTCCTACATCCTCCCGACCTCCCGCATGCCGCCAATTAAAGCCAATCATTGAAGGCAAGCATTGCCTAGATTACAAGTGACCCAGGAACAGGGCTTCAGAACCCCTGAGCCAGATCAATGTTTTCTCAACTCATCCAGTCATAGGACTCAGCTGGGAGTGCTTCCGGGTCTCACAATGTACCGCGGAGACTCTGGAATTTTCATTATCATTGGCAAGTGCCCCTGGATAACGGCTCCCATTTATTAAAAACTTAAATGTCAGGCATAGTGTTAAATACCTTTAATTAACACACTTAACCCTCACCAGAACCTAGAAGTTAAGGAACTTGCTCAGGATCACGGAATAATCAAAGTTCAAAACCAGAATTTCACCTCAGGTACCTGGACTGCAGAGCCCCCAAGCGAGGAGCAGCTTGGCTTCTCAGGCACAAATGTCAACTAAGATTCTAAACCCAGAACAAGGACTTGGGTGGGGCTGGGTACTCTCCAGGAAATAATGCCAGTGGCAATTCAAAGGTCAGCACTTTCTGCAACCTGGGAGGGCAGCACCCACAAGGAGGCCTGAGTTACCAGGGAACGCTCAGGTGGTTATCTTTATCTGCTCATGGCTTTGGAGACCTGCCCCGCCAGAAAGCACCAACCCAGGGCGGGCTGGGTGCCGTGTGCCGAGGGCAGAAGGCAGGGGTTTCTAGGGAGTTAGTTGGCAAGCGTCCTGCCAGTCTTTCCCCCAAAATCCAGGGGTCCAGCCAGGCGGGGAGTAGAACACAGGGGACATCTGTCTCACCCACCATCCCCTACCTTTCCAGGCTTCACTCCTGAGATCTAAGGTTCCCAGAATTACAGGTTGGTGGGTCCAAATGAACTTCCTGTTCTTTTTCTTTTTAACACATATTTTTAATCCTCGCCTGAGGACATGCTTATTGATTTTAGAGAGGGGAAGGGAGGGAGAGAGAGAGAGGGACAGAAACATCAATTGGTTGCCTCTTGTATGTGCCCCCTAACTAGCAACCTGGGTATGTGCCCTGACCCTGAAACAAACCCATGACCCTCTGTTTACACGACAATACTCCTATCAACTGAGCCACACTGGCTAGGGCTAAGCTTCCTGTTTTCTACTTCCTGCTCACAGAGGATAAAAAAAAAAATTTTTTTAAAGCCTTGCCCATTAAACTCCACACCTTCTGGAAACTAAGCCTGGCTTAAGATCGTTCTGCTAATGACTTCTTAGATGATCTACAAGGCCCACAGCTGGCATAGCCCTGAGGGGGGCAGTATGAGAACCTCAATATTTGGAAAAGTTGAGGGATCTCAATGTGGACAAATCACATTCTAAGGGCTCAGGGGGGCAGGCCATAGCCAAGGTCTCCAGTTGGAGGCCAAATGAGGACAGCAGGACCCAATCTAATTCCAGGAGGGAGTGTGAACAGACCCCTTAAGCTTCCCCTATCCTGACTTCTGACATGGGAGCTGGAAGTCAGAGGTCTGAGATTTTGGAGGGGACGGGTGTTGGTGAGGTGACAAACTGATCTATCTTTACTTCAAGACAGAAAAACTCCAAGGAAAGCAAAACCTCTAAAGGCCAACCCTCCACCCACCTTCCCCCTGCTCTGCTTTAGAAAGGTCTTACCTGCCCCAGCAGAAGGGAGGCCCTAGAAAGCAGAACAGGGCTAGAGAGAGCCTTGAGGGACACAAGGCTCCACCACGGATTCGAGGTTTTGGGGCTAGTACGGAAGGACTCACGTCCAGAAGTGTGGCTGACTGCAGTAGACTCCTCCGGGTGAGGAAAACCCAGGGACCCAGCCCCAGGAATCACTTCCCGGCAGGGAAGGGCAGGGCGGAACAGGGCAGGGCAGGGCAGGGCAGACTTGGGGGTGGGGCTTGAGCATTTAAAGGGCCCTTGCAGCTAGTTCTCCTTTTCTCCTCTGGGTGGCTTTGACTGCAGCTGAAGGTACTGCAGCTCTTTTAACACTCAGAGCCAGCTGGCCCCACTGGAAAGAGACTGGGACTTAAGGCAGGTGCCTGACTGAGTTCATCTCTGCCCCATAAAGCTCTAACTTCCCAAAATGGGTGAAGACAATTCTGCCCCTCAACAACTGTCTGGGTTCCAGCTCAAACCCCTCCTCTAAGAGAAGATAACTTTGTATTTTTTATTTTAGATTCAGAAATTGCAGGCCAGGTTTTCAAATAAATGTTCAACAGAAAACACACACACACACACACACACACACACACACACGCCCTCTTTCTGGCAAGGTGCTGTGTTAGGAACTTGGAGTTTTGCTCCTCTTCCAAGTTTCCCAGCACCCTGAGTTAGGGAAGAAAGGCCCTAGGAGCACCAGTCAGTATTTTCGCTGCCGGGGGAAGAGACTCCCTGAGGACCGGAGTGGGGGACTGCTGGGGCTGGGGTCCTCTGAGTCCAGGCTGAACAGGTCCCTGCCAGTACGAAGGATCTGCTCCTCCAGCTTTTTGTGTCGCTTCATGTCTGAGAGGACTTTGTCCAGGCGGGCTTCCCGTTTCTGGCTCCGGGCTGAGCTTCCTGGAGAAGGGGAAGGTGAGAAATGTGGAAGGGAGTGAAGCAGTGTACACCTGCATGGATATTAGTAATTACTTGGGGAATTACCAGTGAAGACCACCCCAGGCAGTGGAAGAGCAAGTGCAAAGGCCCCTGGGTAGGAACAAGGAGGTCTGTTCAAAGAGTGTAGAGGGCTGGGGAGATGTGAAAGATGAAACCAAAGAAATAAGGTGAAAGCCATGATAAGGGGTTTGGATCTCTTATTTTAAATGGAAATATCTTTGGAAGCCTGGGGGAGGGGTGTAGGATTCTCTCTCAACATGCTCTTCCCCCTCTCCCCTGCAATGACGAATCAATGAGAAATCAAGAACCGTTCTAAGGGTAAATTCTGGGAAGGCATATGGGGTAGAAATGGGGTCAGATTACGAAATGTAAACAGTGGTATAGAGACGTGGATCTAGGTAATAATGCATGACCGGGAAGACTTGGACTTTTGGGGAGATGGAGATAAAAGAAATGGGAGCCATGATAGAATTATCTGTGATATTCTGTTAAAGGAATATAGGGTTATCAATTTAAGCTGACATGATGACCCCATTGTGTGAATGCTCTCCTGCAGCAACAAGGCACCAAAGGCCTCTTTTAGGGAGTCACTTTTTGGGTAAGTGGGAGCACAGGCCCTTCACCTTCCCCCAACATTTCCCTCTTGTCAGTACCTGGGGGGCGTCTCCGATCAATCAGGGAGTCCTTGGGTGTCATTGGCTCATCATCAAAGTCAAATTCTGTGGGCATGCGCGGTCTGGACAGGTGGACAGAGAGTGAAGGGTGAGGGTGGTCTCCTTAAACACCCACAGATGTTTCGCCCAGCCTGCCAGCTCTTCCTCTCCTGTTCTTTTCCCACCCTCCATTTTCCATGCTCCAGGTTCCCACCTCCCCTCCCCATTTCCTCCTAGCTTCGGGGGAGCAGCCTCAGAACAAGGTGTAAGGGTGTGCCCTCACTTTTCCTCTTCCTCCTCTTTGGCCTCTGGCTCCTCATCAGATCTCTCCTCTTCACTCTGGGCCTCAGGCGTGGGTGGCCGACGGGGCAGGATCTCGGCCTGAAGCTCCAGGGTACCGTGGGCAGCCAGCAGTTCATAGAGCCGCTGGATTTCAGAAGGGGAGGGCATCCAGGATTGCCCATCCGCGGGCAGCTCCACCTCCTCATCGCTGCAGGGCACGCACCAGTCCTCGGATTCTCCCTTGGCATGCTCTTCACCCTCAGCACTGGGGGCTTCTCCCTGCACCTCCTCGATCCCAGACCCCTCACGCTCGGCCTCCTCCCGTACTCCTTCCCCCTCTTCCTCGGCTTTATTGGCCGAAGCCGAGGGGACTCCGGTATCTCCCACCGCCAGAGCTTGGAAGCCGGAGGTCACTTCCCCTTCTTCAGACAGAGGCGCTGCCGTGCTGGCCGCAATATCTCCATGACCCCGGACAAGGGACATAAGCCACTAGGGAAGGAACCCTGCGATTATAGGTGAGGCAGGAGTGCTAAGCGGGGGATTTCCCCGACCCCCAAGAACTGGGCTCCCCAGGGGTGTCCCCAAAGATGTCTCTCCAACCAATCAGGCTCCAACAGCGGTCCCTGCGACCAGACCGCGCGTTCCCAGGAGGGGGCGCTCAGTTTCCTCCAAGTACCCCGCCCCAGGGATTGAGATCCGGTACTCAATGTTCCCCGGGAACTGCAGAAACCACTTTCTCGGTCAGACCGTTCTTCTCGCCTTCACACCGCCCCTCTCCACACCTCGCAGTTCCGCTACCTCAGCCGCCGTACACACCTGAAGCTAAGACTTGCCTCGCAGGCTGCGCAGGGTCGCAGTACGCAGGCGCATAGAGATGGCGCGGAAGGCTCCACTCTAGTGAAAGCTACTTGGAAGAGGAAGGCAAAGGAAGGCTTGCACATGCGCAGGTAGGCGCTTGGGCATTATAGACTTCGGCCCACAGTAAAGATGGCCGCCGGGACGGTGCAGGCGCATACTATCTAGTAGGTTCTCCCCCAAAGAGCGCACCCAGTGGCGAACCGACGGGAGGACCAACTCAGGCTGGAGGAGCGTTTCATGCAGTCTCCATTTATTGGTGTTTCAGGCTCATGCAGCATCCGACATACAAAAAGGGAGAATCAGTTAAATGTATTTTTTTTTTGACTTTTAGGTTTTCCCCCTCCACACACACTTTTTTTTTTAAAGGAAACAAAAAACCCCCGCTAACTCCAAACCACGTCGTGGCTCGGTCTCCGCCTCCCTAGCGGACTGTGGCGTACAACACACCTCCCTCCTCCTCCTAGAAAATAATTAGTTATAAAGCTCTCCACCCCGTCCTCGCTCCTTGAGGCTGGGGGCTTTGGTCCTGTTTGGGGGGGTTCTTTCATTACAAAGCACGTGAGTGACTTCAGCCCCCTATACCTTCAAGAAACTCGCCAATATAGTTAAAAAGCCCGGGGCGGGGGCGGGGTAGGGGGCGCTGCAGGTCAATTCAGGCTGACAGTGGAGGGTCAACAGCTGCACTGCCTGCCTTCTCCCAGGTGCGTGTTTGGAACAGCGCTCACCACTCCTGCACAAGTCCCCAAACGAGCCCCGGTTTGCCAGCTCTGCGACCCCATGACGCCTTGTAGGCATTCAGACCTGGGTGGTCCCAGCAGAGAACAGCACCGGGGCTAGAGAGTCCTCTCCTGACGTTGCCGCCCTCCCCTAGCCTGATCTAAGTGCTGGAGTTTTTGCAGAATAAACGGTGGCAAGACAGTGGAGGAGAGGATCCTTAGGGGAGGAAAGGATGCTGAGGGTAGATGAGGTAGGAGGAGGAAGAGGGCAGAGGGTGTGGAGAGGAAAGGAGAAATGATAAAGGAGAGAAGGAAGAAAGGAATAGTGGAAGATGCAAAGACAGTGAAAGTTGGGGAGGGGGAGGTCAGGGTTGAGGTGCCAGCAATTTGGGAGGTTGGAAGAAGTGCAGGAAGGATGGGAGAGATGAAGATGGGCTGAGAGCAGAGTTCGGGAGATGTTCAGGGAGGTTTTCAGAAGTGCAGAAATAGGGAGACCAAGAGGCTGGACTGGCTGCAGGCAGAAGTGCAGGGAGACTGGAAACAGTGCAGGGAGAAGGGAGGCCTACAGTTGGCAGAGGAACCTGGCAAGATGCAGGAGCAGGAAAGAAACTGTAAACAAGGCTGCTCAGGCTCCCTTGGTCCCTATGGGTGTGGGCCTGGGCCATCGATTGGGCTCCCCTCAGGGGGAGCAGGGGAGGATGGGCCCAAGGCAGCTCCCAACAGGAAGAAAAGTCTTGGAATGCAGGGCAGAGCCCCTCACTTATACACTGTGGAAGAGGAGAGGAAGGGACAGACAGACAGTTGGGGTGGAGGGTGGAGTAGGGAGGAGGGAGACAAGGAGAGACAAAGGAGTAGAGAGGACAGGAGAGAGTGGGGGGGGGGCAAGAGTTAGTAAAGCAGCCCTTGCCAACCCTTCCATTCCTCCCAGCCTGTCCCAGACCCCCACTCACCGCCTAAGTTGATGACGCAGGAGGCGATGATGATGAGGACCCCCCCTACCAGCGCCACGATGCTTAAGAGCTTGGCCACTCGACCCAGACGATGGGCCCCATCCACATCCCCCTGCTGCAGACTGTTCCTGGACTGAGGTTAGGGTGAGGGGTGGGGTACCATGGCCCAGGTCAGGAGAAGCCAGCCCAGCAGGGATCAGGTGAAAGAGTCATCCAGAGGAGACAGGCCAGCCATAGTTAGGGAGGAAGGAGAGAGGCAAGGGGGAGGAGGGCACAGGTCAGCAAGGCTGTGTGAAACATGTCTGGATATCCCTCCCACCTGAAGGGATGGGGCAATAGTGGCTCAGAGGGTGAAGTCCTAAGGAAAGGCAAGCAAGGTCCTGTGACTTGGAAGTGAGATCCATGCAGAGAGGGAAGGCCAGGCACTCCTGCGGCTTTGTTCCAGTGCAGGAAGCCAGGGTCCCATGAGGCTCACCATGATGGCATAAGCGAAGGCCACAATGTTGACAGGCCACATGGGGCAGAAGCAGGACAGGATGGCGAGGATGATGTAGTCCCGAGGTTTCTGGGTGCCTTCACCCCCCTCTATGCCAGACCCTGCTAGCTGGGAGCTGGGGTGGCGGCTCAGGCTACCTCGGGGAGATCCTGGATGCCCACTGTGAGCCCTTCCTAGTCGGTCTTCCTCAACAAGCTGCTGCAGCATGCGGGGGGTAGCCCCATTGGCTGGGGCGGGTTTTGTTGAAGGTGGTGAGTGAGGTTGGGGGGATGGGCCCTCTTCCCCATCACCAGCCTGCAGGGGAACCACTGCCCCATTCTCCTGCTTTTCTCCTTGACTCTCAGTCAAGACCTCAGTGGTGGGGTCCTCCTGGGTAGGAGGCTCTGTCTGAAGGGCTGGCTTGGGGGTGGGCTGGGAACCTGACTGAGGGTCCAGCTGGGAAGTGGGCTCTGAGGCTGGCTCAAACAGGCCTGCAGACTCCAGGTTGGTCCCCTGGTCTGCAGTTACCTCTTTGCTCACTTCTGGCTGGGATGCTGGCTCTTGGCATGCTTTTTTGGGACTGGAGTTGACCTTTGGTTCCCCTCCTGAGCTTGGGCTGAGGTCTTTGGCCTGGGCTGTTTCTGGGGCCCCTGTTGGGATCTCTGTGATTTCTGGAGCCATCTCAGCTTTGGGCTCTGAGTCCATAGGGGCCCCAGTGATGTCTGGACCTGGCTGCAGGGCCTCTGGCTCATCTGGGACCCCAGCTGGGACCTGGAGAGGGCCAGTTTTGGCCTCAGAATGGCCAGGTCCTTCTCCCTGGGTCTGGAGACCCTCCTCTGTCCCCTTCATCCCAGAGACCTCAGAGCTGCTGGCTGCCATCTTGAGATGGGAGAGGGGAGAGGGCCTCTGAGAGGAGGATGGAGCAGCAGAGACAGCAGCAAATCCTGGAAGAGGAGGAGACAGGCTTGGTGTGAGGAGGAAAGAGGCAGCTTTCAGAACTGCAGCTGAAGAGGGCTATATGTTCCTGTCTCCGCGCCAGCCTAGGGCTGCCTCTGGAGAGAGGAAGAAAAGTTGCCTTGGGGTGGGATATCTTTGGGGTGGAGTGCTCTGATCAAATTATTCTGCTTGGGGGAGCCCTGGGAAGATTAACCCTTTTGTAAACAGGACCCTCCCATGGTCTCCTTCTGGGTACCCCAACAAGATCCAGCCTCCGAGATCCTAGCAGATGCCCCAGCACCTCAAAATCAAGCTGTGCAGACACCCATACACTCTGACAGGCAGACTGGGCAGAGGCAGGCCCCTTACTCACATAATACTACGCATCCTTCTTTCCTACCTGGGTGCCAGTGGGTGCGGTTTTCTTGCTGCGCGTTTTGGGGTGCAGACGCCCCCGCTCCTCCTTGGGTGTCCTGGGCTTCTCTTCTAAGCCCCTCCTTAGCCCCTCTCTCAGGGATTCCCTTGCCCCGGGGGTGCCCCCTGTGTCTCCACCTTCCATTGGCTTGGAGCGCCCAGCACCACCAGCCAGTCCGCCAGCACCCGTGTTCCTATGCAGTGCAGCCTTCCCCGGCGTCTGCCTTCTGTCCGTCCACTCCTACCCGCAGCCTCAGTGCATCCCCGTCTCACCTGGACGCCGGCTTCCAGACTGCTCCGGCTGCCGCCGCCACCGCAGCCGTCGCCGCCGTTGCAGCAGCCGCAGCCCAGGAGGGAGCAAGAGAAGGAGGGAGGTGGCGGGTCTCCCCTCCGCTCTGCTTGTCCCCTCCTCTCAGGTCCCCTCCCCTACGCTCTACTGCCGCACGCGGCTGCCCCCGCCCCCTCCAGGCCCGCCCAAGGGAGCCACGCGTGCCAGGCCCGCGTTACCCAGGCAACCTGCGGGGGGACCACTCGCGCCAGCTCCCTGCTCCTTCCCACGCGCACCTTCCTGGGGGTATCCCCTTCCCAAGCCCCGGGCCCCTCCCGCCAACGGTCACCAGGGTCCTGACAGAGACAGGGTGTTGGATGAAACGGAGGGGTCTGTGGGGTCTGCGAGAAGCAGGTCCAGGGAGACAGGCAGGGCCGGGTGGAGTCACCCCTACTAGCGGAAAGAGGGGAAGGGAGAGGCAAAACTTGGGAAGGCTACAGGGTGGGGTTTCAAGAGGAGGGGCCCTGCGTAACAGGAAGTCCCTCTACCAAGGAAGCCGCAGCAGAAATTGGTATGGGAAGACTCAAGAAAAGGGTCGCTGGAAAGGAGAGGAACTAGGTTTGGAATCCCAAGAGGCAGGGCAGAGGCTGCGGGGGCAGTCTGGAACAGCAGGAAGAGGCTGGGGCAGAGAAGCCCGAGTGAAGATGTGGGGGTACCATGCTGAGAATGGACAAGTACAGTTGTTATTCTCAACCCCACTGCTCCCAGTCCTAGGGCTCAGACTTCCCCTTACCTTTCTGCAGCTAAATCTACATCATCCACCATCACCTCTCAGGGCCTTAACTGTGCAGGTATTTGGGTGGGTTGTAGCAACTATTTGGGTTTCTAACCCAGGACTCTTCAAATCTACAGCGGCTGGCTATTCTGCACCTGTCCAGACTGGGTATCCCCCAGAGACCTGGGGGTCCTGGAACTTGCTCTCCACAGCGTGTGGACACTTGGCCTCACCCTGAATCTGGGCTGCAGCCACTTGTGCTGCCTCCAGGGAGGGAGGAGCCAGAGCTGCAGAAGGTAGAGCAAGGCTGGGATTGACACCAGGCCCAAGAAACCCTTTGGGGATGGAAACAGGGGCTTCAGTGAGAGCAATTCATTCAAGCCAGAGCCAAGTTTTTATTTAAAATTTATTGTAATGGGATCCACGCAAGAGGGAGTGAAGGGTAGGGAACATGCAGGGGACACTGGAACACGATGACATGGCCAGGGCCACAGCTTCTATCTTGGGGGAGAGGGATGAAAAGGCCAGGGCTGGGGCTGGGGTGAAAGAGGAAAAGGGGAGACACCAGCTGCCTTCCCCCCAACCCCAGGCAGCACCTCTAGTCCCTGGACCCCCACCCCCCATTTACCCTGGCCTCATAAAGTTCCATCTCTTGCCCTGCCTCTTGCCCAAGTGGCTCCTTCTTTTGCTCCCTTTGACTTCTTTTCCCCTGACAAATTCTCCAGTAGGACAATGCTTAGGGCCTGACCCTAAACAACCCCACCTTATGAAGGTACCACCTTTGCCTTCCCTGTTTCTGCCTCTTCTCAAATCTCACCTTTTCCCCCCTACGACAGAATCTTTGATTCCCCTCCTTTCTCTCCTCCCTCCCCCTGGAAAAAAAAAAAAAAAGCACCAACTCCCCAGGGAGGGGCAGCAGACAGTAGGGGGGACTGGAAGGAGAGCAAGAAGGACCATTAAGGGAGAAGGTTCACAAATCCCTGGAAAGGCAAGGCAGAGGGTTACAGAGAGGAGAGGGGGTGAGGGCAGTGGCTACTCCTGTCCTCTGCCACCCCTGCCCACTGTCCAGGGAGCTTCAACACAACCAAGAGGACAGGTGTGTGTGTGGGGTCAGGTCTGATAGGAAGAGAGGAGCAAGAGAAACAAATTGTTAAAACCTAGTGAATTCCCCTAAGAAAACTTTTCTTCCTCCTTTCCTTCAGGACGCTCCATGGGTAGTGGGGGAAGCAGTGTAGAGTTGGTGGGAAGAGAGGGGTGGAAAGGAGATTGTACCAAGGGACTTTCCTCCATTCTCCCTTCTCCCCCTCACCAACTTGGGAGTTCACCAGGGCTGGGAGGGAAGTGGCTGAGAGCTCACAGGCACCCCTTCAGCCCCAGAGAGGGTGCCCACAGCTGTAGGAGGGGCTGCCACTGATGCAGCAGCCGCCGCTGCCGCCGCCGCCGCCGCCGCTGCTGCCGCCGCTGCCGCTGCCATTGGACAAACCTCACCGGTACCTGCATGGTGAGAAACACCAGATCACAGTGCCATCTGAATGGCAAGAGCCTTGTTGCTTGCCCCAGACTCCCCACCCTGGGACACAGCCGTTGCTCACTTCCTGTTTGGTTTCCAGAGGCTTTGGCCTGCATCCTTACCCAGTTCTCCTGAAGGGCCCTCCCTGACCCCAGTAGTCTCCCTAACATGAGTAGTAGGATGGACATCCCTGGCCTTCCTGAGATCCCCTATTGGGCCCCTTGAGCCCCCTTGTCCCACACACACCATCCATCCCCCCCAGCCATGCCCCACGCCTTGCCTGGTGGGTGCAGGGGTCCCCCTCAGCAGGTGGACTGTGGCTGGGGGGCATCTCCCGGGACAGGGGGTGCGGCCCCCCCCAGATGGGTCTGCATGTGGCCGGCCAGCTGGGCGGGGGTCTTGCAGTGCACGCTGCACAGCTTGCACAGGATGCGGTCAGCCCGCGGGGCCTGGAGCCCATGGTCCTTCACCGCGTGGATGCGCAGGTATGCTGCCGTGGTGAAGCCTATGGGGGGGGGGGGTTGGGATGGGGGGGATGGGGTCAGCCCGATGGAGACCCCAGAGACGGGGTTATTCTCCTAGGCTGGGGACGCCTTCCTCAGATGGTGGCCTTGTCCTCCTCCCACCGCATCCTTGGTAACCTGGGGCCAACTACTCTGCTAAGGCTGGTAGGGCACAGCCCCACTCTGAAACTGGGACCTGGTTGAGTAGGGTCTGCTCCTTGGCATTGGTACCCAGAACCCATTCTCCATGGCTAGGGGATTTCTCCTGGGGTGACAGGCCACTGATTCCTAGATACTTGAAGGGTTGACCCTCAGTAGAGACGGCTGTGTCCCCTCCCTCCAGTGTCCCGTACAGTCTCAGCCCAGTGACTCAGTGAATAAGAAAATCTATTTAAAAGCAAATTTTTCTGCTACTGAAGCAGGGTACACGCTTGTTAAGCCCCTGTCAGTGTACTCCACTTGTCCCAGGAGCCGAAGATGAGAACTTGTGGCTGCATAGCTGAAACCGTCTCTCAACCCTTGGGCACTGGCTCTCTTGACCACTCCTTCCCCAAAGCAGCCATGTCCCACTCCCATTCTCCCCATGTACACCCAGAGGTTGACTCTTTTTGGTAGGTCATCTCTTCCAGCTGTGATCTCTTAGAACCTAATGATGTACAGTGGTCCCAATGTCACTTCATTGCTTCCTACAGGGCTCTAGATGCCACAAGCTCTCAGCTACAGCACCTTTAACTCACATCTGTGGAAGGGCCTCTGGCTTTGTCCCCACCCTTTGTCCCTGGCCCTCCCAGCATCCCTCAGCATGTACCTTTGTTGCAGAGCTCACAGACATGATGAGGGCCCTGGCTGTGCACCTTCATGTGGTCCGAAATATAAGCTGAACTCAGCATCTTGCCACATACGTGACATGGCACCTTCTCCTCATGTCGTACTGTGTGTGCCCGCAGTCGATCCTTCGTAGCGAAAGCTGCCTCACATTTCTGGGGAAGGGGGAGGGGTGTGGGGGGGGGTGTCAGGAGAGTTAAAGCTTCAGGGAGTGGGGAGAGGGGGCAAGAGGTTAAAGGAATCAGAGCCTTGGGGATCTTTGATCTGTAGGAAATGGGAGTGAGACGATGAGGCCTTGAAGAAGGGATGAGAAAATGGAGTGAAAAAGCAAAAGAGAAAAAGGGGGTCTGAGAGGCTGAACTCAGACAACTATAATGAGGATCAAAATCATGAAAGCCAAGACAGGAAGAGGTGGGCTTCCTACCTCACATTTGAAGGGCCGTTCTGTTGAGTGCACTTGTCTGACGTGACTGTTGAGGTGATCCGGCCTGGGGATATGTTGGGGGTGGGGTTAGGGCCCTGGGATGTGGAAATGCCCCCAAATCTGCCTAACCTAGCACAAGAGGTCTTTCAAAGTTCCCTGAATTTACTCCCTGAGCCCGGAGCTTCAGAGTCCTACTTAGGCAGGAAATCTCTCCCCTGCCTTGTCCACGCCAAGCTTTCCAACAATCCAAGGGCCCACCTCCTTTGCTAAGTACCACCCCCTGCTCCCTGGTAACCCGGAGAGGTTTTGCTCCCTTCCTCCCTGGGAGTGGCTCCCAGTCTCCATCCTCAGAAACCTCCTCCCACCCCACCAGCAAGGCTAGGCCACCTCCATCACAGTCCCTCCCTCCCCACCCACCGCCTAGTGAGGGCCAAGGCCCCGTGCACACCGGGAGAAGCTCTTGCCACAGTGGGAGCAGTTGTAGGGCTTGTGCACAGCGCCGTCATGTGAGCGCACGTGGTAGCTCATGCGGTCCTTGCGCTTGAAGCGCTGTTGGCACACAGGGCACTGGTAGGGCTTCTCATCGGAGTGCGACAGCTTGTGTCGATTCAGATGGTAGACGTCGCGGAAGGCCTTGCCGCACATCTCACAGGCGTGGTTCTTCCGGATGCGCTTTCCCGAGGCGGTGGTGGTCACTACGCCACCCGCTGCCACCGCGGCCGCTCCGCCGCCGGCACCCGCCTCTCCCCCTCCTCCACCAGCTCCACTCAGTTGGGGCACACTCAGGAGGCTCAGGGGCACCATGGTGGGCATCTTCATAGCACCCGAAGGGACCCGGCCAGCCTTGGCTCCCGTGTGGATGGCCTCGTGCCTCCGGAGGTTGTAGCCGTTCTTGAACTCCTTGGCGCACAGGGCGCAGATATAGGGCCCCTTGCTCTTTGTCTTCTTCTCCAAGGCAGATGTGACTGGGGCCACGGCAACCGTCGAGGTTGGGGCTACGACGGCAGTGGCTGCGGCGATGGTGGCGGCAGAGACAGGGGGCGCGGCCTCGGCAGCGGGTGCCGACACCGGCGGGGGCGGTGGAGGGGGTGCGGGCGGCTGCTTCAGAGCCG